ATGATATAACAAATTAAGAAAAGTCTTAGAGATCTTTAAGTCAAATTCACATCAGAACCTTTCAAGCAGTCATATCAAACAAACTTTGTCTTATTGTATTCCAAAGGATGGCCATCAAACTAACATCAGCTTTGACCAATGATGCACACCATCACATAAATGCAAATACAACTACAAAACATGGAAGAATTCCTTTTGATGTTGTGACATTATTATGTACATTTTACCAGTTGGCTAGATACACTGGGCCAGATGGGGAACCTTTATTAATTGGAATGCAACATCCTATTTCAGAAGAAACTTGTAAGGTTGCAAAAGTATATGCATTTACTATACATGCTCCAATAATACATATAAATTGTATTTAGATAGATAGGTGTATTTATCGAGAAAGAGAACAAAAAAAATTATTTTCATAATAAATAAATTTAACTTTTCTGCTATGAATTTATCATTTTATATTTTATCAAGTGGCACTAGAGCCACAAAATGCCACAAGTTCTCTACCTTAGGCTGGATGGTTCTAGTTTTAATCAGTCAGTTCCTTCAAAAAATACATAATATACAGGAATATTAAATACTTTTCTAATTATAGTTATTCTGAATTTATTTAATTTTTATTATTTATTAAAATGTAACAATGTAACATTTTTTTTTTTTTAAACCATCTTTCTAGATATACTTATTGATTAAATACTTGGGCTGTTTTTTTTCAAGCTCCGATTGTCCATAAAAAAAAGACAAGTGTAAATAACAAAATGAATTTATTACCAAAAGTTAGGTGCAAACAAGGTTACTTTTTGACATAATCACCTTGAAGATTGAGGCATTTGTCATATCTGTAAATGAGCTTTTCCATCCTCTTGTCATAGAATGTTGCTGCCAATGACTTGAGATAGGCCCTAATGTTGTTTTAAAGATCGTCATTAGTCTCAAACCCTCCTAGCCACTTTATCTGTTCAGGAAAGAGGTGGAAGTCGCTCAGTGCTAAATCAGGGCTATACACTGGGTGTTTAAAGGTGGTGAAGACTTCCACCTCTTTCCTGAACTGAAAATGAGCTAGCAAGGCAGAGGCTATGGGAGGGCATGATTTTGTTCACTCTCTTTGAAGCTTAATAACTCCTTGTTGTCAAAAATTTCTGAAATTTTGCAGGGAGATTTGTTTATTAGAGGGATTGATACTATTAAATTTTGGTGGTTAAAAGTTGATGGGATGGGGAGATAAAAGTGTATCATATCTCAAATAGGGTCAGAATCCAAGCAACTTGTTGCTGAATTTTTTAAATATGTATAACATAAATCAACAAACACCTTTTAGGCTGCTGGGATTCTTTTTTATTTAGCAAACGTTTTCAACCTAGTCTAATAGGCCATCTTCAGGCTAACAATCTTTTTTGGAACATATTTTACCATTATCATTCCAAAATAGAAAAAAAAGAATAACTGTGTTAAAATATTTGAATATAAAGGCAGATAAACTAAAAATTAATATAAATAACAAATAACAGTAAAATGTAAAATAAATAACTCAAAAATATACAAAAATATAGTAGAAATAAGGCAATTATGACCTAACAAACTTATTCTGTACAATGTATTTCCATGTCATTGCTAAGCTGTTGGCATCAGGTGTTAGGTGCCATCTCTTGCTAAATTTAATAATTAATTTAGAAGGTTCTGAAAGAAAAGAATTGGGCTAAAGCAGTACTCAAATCTGCAACTCCTGCTTACCGAGCAGTTGCATTGCCAGTTACCATACCTGGACCATTGTCTGATCTTTGCTTTCAGAACTTATAAATTTGGATATAACCATACTCAGTTACTTGTGGCACTGACTGGAGATGACTCAGTGCCTACAGCTTATAACTTTCACAATTTAGGCTAATATGAAAATTAACCTAAATTATAACTAAAATAATTTTGTCATATGTCAACAATTTTAAAAACATTCTTTGTTGAAAGTCTTTTTTGACTCTGCTTTTAATCCTTACTTTAACAATGGTAGATGATGATTTCATTTTTATATACTTATCTGTTGGTTGAACATTGATTTCTCCATTTGTTATATATTTTTGTGTTCTTCCTTTTTTCCTCTTTAATTTATCTTAATTAGTGATACCATTTCTAGCAAATGTTTCTGTTTAATAAATTTCATTGGCAGTCTAACACATTAAACTTTTTCACTAACAAAAAAAAAATATTTCCACCAGTCAGAACAGCAGATTTGTTGACATAAAGAGAAGGATAAGTCCAATTTGGCAGCAACGAAGATAGCATGTGTGGCCTAAGATGCAAAACAGTTTTTGGCTGAATAAGCAATGCTTTATTTTTGTTTTTTTCTTTCTTTTTAAATAAACAGATGCAAAACAATAACATTATTATCAAATCATCGTTATCAGCCATCTTCTTGGAATGACATTTATTTTCACTCACAACTAATTGGCTATGCTTTTTGCTTTTCTCTTCCTGCAAAATGCCAGTGAGAAGTGAGTTTGCTAAGTGGGGGAAAAAATTGCTTTCCTTTGTTTGCTTTCACTAGCAAATATCTGTATAAACTAAGCTTAATTGCTGTTAAGTTTCTGATGATGATATAATATTCATATTTTGTTGATATTACTGATTGTTGTATGATGACGGCCCTTTTTTTCCATTTTTGATTACAATGCAAATACAATACAAAGCAAACATCTCAATGATAGTTTAAATTTTATAATAGTAATAGTAATTCATGTGACTTTTGAATATTGATCATTTAAACAACAAAAATAACAAGATATCCATTAGTTTTATATAAATAATTAGGAAATTATATTAGTGATCTGCAAATAGTAACTACCCACTACTTTTGTATCTCACAAGGATCCAAAGTAACAAAACCTTTTTTCAAAAGTATTTGTTACTCATTATTTTTGGAATCAACACAATAATAAATAAATAGAGTTATAAATAGATATCAATTACTATTTATCATTGTATGTTTTGTGAACAGTGGTTATATTTAACTATAAAGTTTAACAATTCAAAAAGATATAGTGCCATAAAACAATATTTATATGTTAATCTATTTTATTTTTAATGTCTTCTTAGTATCTATTGATTTAAGAAGTTACAAGAAGTGATTTTTTAATCCTTATAGGATATAGGATACTTTTGTATAAGCATTATGGGTTTGATCAAACTCAAGAGGTGACAAGAGATGGGAATGTTTATGCTTTCTGGGTTATTGGTATGAAAAAATTCAAACACAACTCAAAAATAGGTTCTCAGAGAAAAAGAAAAAAACTTTAATTGTGTCAGCTTATCTGGCTGTTAATACTAGAACCATGAAAAATTATCATTAAAGCAAATAATTAATAAAATAATTAAAGCAAATAACAGTCATTTTCAAATCAGGAATTTTCTTCTAATATCATAATCTTACAATCAAATAAAAACTTGAGAAATTAAACAAATAAAATGATAAAGCACCATCAAATCCAAGCTTAGCTGAGAGGGTGAGGCACTAGTCATAGTCATAAACTATATATGGTTTTAAAAAACTAAAGCTTCATCCTTCATTTGTATGATTAATAAAAGCCTGTGTTTAACTTAAATTTTCAAGAGAAACACGCTCACTTATAACAAACATGAAATTATAATTAGTATTCCATAATTCTTGGAACTCAGTCCATAATACAAACTAATAAAACTTACAAACAAAAATGACAAAGTAGAAAGGAACCCTCTAAACTAATACTACATAGTTTAACTCAACATTTCATAAAACTCATCATGTTGTTCAAAAACAAGAAATACACATAATCTAAGTTTTATCTCTATTTATAACACTAGGATCAAATAAGTTATCATTATTCATCTGGCAACACTTGATAATAGCATCAATTCCATGTATTAACAAAGAATAACTCTTTTTCCAAGTTGCCACTGCAAAACACCACTACACAAATGTCACTACAGTCTGTCTATGGAAAGAATCAACTTGAGATCACTATCACTCGAGTTAAACCAATTGGCATATTTCCTAATGATGTCAGCACTTTTCATTAATATGTCAGGAAATACATGAATTTCATTTTATTTTCTCTTACTATATGGCAGAACAACTTTTCCATTAATTGTGTTCATTTTTATAGCATACATTAACTGTAAAGAATCATGCATTTAACAACTACTATAGCAAACTTCCTCATATTCCAATACCAGAATATGAAGTTTCCGTAACACTGTTTATAATGGCAGTGACATATATAATAAATGAAGAAGAAACTGGAAGTAACTTGCCACAACTAACTGATCAATGGCTGATGCTCATTGGTTAATACCCAAGTTGATTCTTTCCATAGACAGACTGTAACTCAAAAGTAACCACTGAGTAGCCAATTTTTTTTAAATTAAAATTTAACAACAAATAGAAATACTCACTACTGGTGTGAAGTTAATATGTATATAAATTTGCACTTATAATAGCTTTACGAAAATTCCACTATTTAGACTACCAGCATTGCTATCCATAAAATGTTTTTGGTCATTTTCAGTAACTCATCACCTTCTCAATCCACATTAAGTCAAGTATGTGGAACTCTACTGTACTTGATTCAAATAGTAACTACTCGATAATTGAATATCAATAACAATTTGTTACAAAGAAATGGGTAGTGAGTAGGTAACAAGTAATGAATACCAAATGCACAAGTACCATCCTGTTTCTCAAAAATAATAGATTTGAACATCACTAATTTATGATCAAAAATTGATAATTTCAGGGATAAATCTAAGGTGTAGCAATTAAAACACATGCACTAAGCAGAAACAATCCATGTTTTGAATTGCTGTCATCTAACATTTATCACTGAAAACTATAACATAAATATAAATTTCTAATGGATGTTTTTCTAAAAATATTTCAGTTTTTTCTTTAATTTAATTAAAATTATTAATATATTACAACACTATTTATCAAATTTTGATATATATTATTGATATGTATTTTATCATTCCAGAGTTCGGTCGAACCTATGCAAGTTGATGCACCACCAGATGAGAATGAAGCGCCTGAAGAAGAAGCTTATATAGTAGACAATCCTACATTGGTTAGTAAAAACTTTTAATTCAAAATTATCTGTTATTAAATATTGATCAATAATACAAGAAAATGTTTTTTGTAGTTTAAAATAAATTTTTTGGATAGCACCCATATATTATTATAATTATAGAAATACAGTAGAGCATCGATTATCCGACTCAATTGGGGACTCAGGTTGGTCGGATAACTGAAAAATTGGATAACCGAAAAGAAGGAAAAAATACATTATTAGTATAGTATATTAGGATATTAGTATATCCCATGTAATTAGTTTATTAGTATATCGCTATTAACCAACTTCACGTTGAATTTTCATTGAAGTTTAGCCTAACAAATTTTTTTTTTAAATAATAATTGTTGCTATTGTATCATTAAAAATTATTTTTAAATTATTTTATTGCTCACGAAACAAACAACCACTCATAATTAGAAAATTAAGTCTCGTTTAAATATTGGCCTCCCTTCAATGGTCGAGCCATTGATGCCAGCTAAATCATGCAAATATTTAACAAAAGATATAGCCAAGATATAGCCAAATATTGTAATGCCACATCACTAGCAGACATTTGAAATTTGCCGACTAGAATGGTCAGTTAACCGATGTGACGGTTAATTGGGGGTTGGATAATCGATGCTCTACTGTAATACTAATGGCATAGAGAACAGAAGCTGTAATTATCATGATGATCTTTAATTTCTGTAGAGTTATTATGGAAAATAGACACACATTTTTTATATCAAGCTTAATAAGAACAGTTTAATTATAACACAGCATACACTAAGCTTACATCACTACTGGACTATCCATAAAGAGAGAAAACTTGAGACAATATACTCTGGCAGTACCATCAAACACTACACAGATATCAACAGTTCCAACACATAGATCTATATATTTCAGAATATTGCATTATTAGCTATTGAGTTATTTTAATTAGGAACAATTCTGTCAGTTAAATATTTCATTTTTAATATATTAATCAATCAGACTATTCATTGTAAAATGCTTGAAAATGATCTGATCTGTTATAATTAGTTACTTCTTTTATGAGAATTCTTTCTCAAAAACTGTTTTTCAGATATATTTATAATAGGAACTTTTATAGGTAATTTTTGTCTAGATCACATCATCATTGTAATCGGAGCAATAAGTTAAATATGATAACTATTATTATTATAAATATTTTTAAAATCAAATTAATGAAGATTGTATAATAAAAGAATCTTGTATATGTTGTTCAAAAACAAGTATAAATGAAATTGATAATTTTTTTTATAGTGTAATTCAAGTGTTTTCAATGTTTTCATTGTTTTACATAAATTATTCACTTTTAGAATTCTTAAATGAACAAAACATTGAAAAAGTAAACTTCTGAGCTCTGATGTATCCAATGTATACTGTCAGCATTAACATTAAAATGCATTATTTTGCTGTAAAGGAATTTATACAGTCTAAGTTAAGATGACTAAACAACACTTTAGAATTACACATACGTATAACAGACTAAAGAGCATGTTGCCAGTTTAGAATAAATTGATGAATACTTTTTTGAAATCATAATGTCTTTATATCATTTTTTGTAAAAAAAATTGTTACACCAAAAAAACTGGAGTAGTCCATAAAGTTCCATAACTTTTTAAAAGTTGTTAAGTGAGGGATAGATGTACTTGTTAAATGGTAAGCTTTTTTTTATTTGATTAATTTTTGAAGCTAATACTTGACTGATACTTGTTGAAACTTCATAATCCACATTCTAATATTTAATATTGAAAAAATTTTCATTGTACCACAAATGAAAAAATAGCAAAATTTTAATAAAAGTAATCAAAATGAATTTTATTTACATCTGATTGGTTATTGAAGATAACATTCTGTTAATTTTATTACTTGTTAATACTAATTAAGCTTTAAACTTTTGAGAAAATGAAGTCTGTTATTTTCTAAATTTACACTTTAAAATAATTGTTGAATATACATTTACTTTGTGATAGATGTAAGGTGTTTAGTGTACAGATTTGTCATTATTCAAATTATAGCTTCTTCAAATTGTCAATGGTACAATTATAATTCTTGAAAGTTTAAATATTTTTTCTAAAGTGATTTCTACCTGAACCAATATTTGATATATTTATAATTTAAATAAAAAACCTCATTCAACTTAGAGTCTTTTTTTGTTTCCAGTACTGTTTAATGATGATAAAATGTTTAAAGACAAACGTTTTTGATCTATATGAGATCTTCCTTAGGTCTATGTGAAATGAAATGTATTTTGGAATGTTAACATGTTTCTAATAAAAAATATACAAAACTTTCAATTTATTAAAATACAAAAATTGTGCACTGCCAATGTAACAACAGGAAGAGTACAAGAAATAACACAAATAAACATTAACAAATATTATCTGGTATACCTGGTGATATTGCAACTGAAAAAATTTTCAGTTGCAAAATATCACCAGATGAGAAAAGAGAAAAATTATCTGCATATTTAGTGAAAGTTTTTCATAAACCAAAAGAAAATGTACTATTGATATCATAGACCATAGAAGAGTTTATAGAAGTAGTACATGAAGAGAAAGCAGAAGTAACCTGAAAATTAATCTTTGTCTGATTTAGAATTGACAGATAACAACTGTTGTCATGCCCTTTGGTCAGTATACCTTCAGATCAGATTTATGGCCTGAAAATATAAGCAATGAGATGACCAAACATTTTGGTGAATGTGGTTCTTGACAAATAAGTAAAATTTTCCAGTCGATGGTAATCGTAGAAAATTTTCAAGAAATTATTTCATTCAACAAAATTCTAGCAGGGAAAAAAATTAAAGGAGATTGGCTTGTTTATTTTATCTCAAAAAATTTGTTTTGTTACTGCTGTAAAAGTTTTGGGAAACTTACAAGTGGTAGTACTTTGTCAACTTTGAATGGCAACATTTATCTTTAATTAACAGTTAAAAGACATAAAACAACTGCTTATCACAATGCATGTTGAAAAAAGGGAACATCAGTCAATCAGGCACACATAGCTAGATCAAATGATGAACCATTTCAATGTGTTTTGAATATCCCTAAATACCTTATACTTTTTGTATCAGAATTATGATTAAATTTGAAAAGATTTTACGGGTCAACAAAACTAATTTCAATGTAGTATTATCAGAAAAAAAAAAACTTTAACTGAAATTCTAATTGGCAGTTATGTAATTAAGTGAAAAAATCTTTATTAAATGTTGTACAATAACCTATAACTTTTTGTTCTTTTTATAAATAAAATATAAGCTTTATTTTATTTTATTTATTTAAACTACAGAATAAAATATTAATTTAAAACATATTTTTATTTAAAATGTAATACGTGTTTTTTAATTTCTGTGTATATAGGATTTGGAATCATATGCTAATAGTTACACGGGGTTGGCTAAATTGTACAGATTACTTTATATAGCTGATCATTGCTCATCTCTACGGGTTGAAGCATTGAAAATGGCACTTTCTTATGTTCAAAATACGTATAATGTTAGCATGTATCAACATATTCATCGGAAACTTGTGGAAGCTTCGGGGTTTGTCACTTTTTAAATTTTTTTATAATAAAATACTTTTACATATATAATATATAGTAAAGAAAAAGTGATGATCGTATTTAAATTTTTTTTCTTTCTTTTTTCACAAAGGGCTTCAACTTTACCTGATGTTACTGGTATCAACAGTACTGCTTTGCCTTTAGATACACAGTGGATTGAGACAAAAGGAAAGAAAGCAGCTCTAAAGTTGGAAAAATTAGATACAGATTTAAAAAATTATAAAAGTAATTCTATCAAAGAAAGTATAAGGTAAATAAGTTACCAATTATTATAAGAATTATACAATATAAATGTAAAAATAATATATATTTGGTATTCCTTTCATTGATAACTTTTTGTGCATTTAAATAAAAATGTCTATATAACATTTTTCAACTTAAATTTTGTTTCTAATGCTCAAATCATAAATTAGACTAATATGGTTTTATAGATTGTATAAAACTTCCATCATTTTTTCTAGTTTACCTTTTTAAAACAATATTGTAAACAGGGAATTATAAAGTCACAGAACTATATGAATTACGCAGAAAAGAATATTGTTAAATTTATTACTCTTTATTTGCATATCATAAATATAAATTGGAGAAGAAAATATAATTTAAAATAAAAATCATGATTTTTTTCATAAACTAATATTGAAGTATAATAGAATGATTTAAGAGTAGTAACTATTTAAAATATAATTAAGTAATGTTATATCGAATACTATTACTGTGATATAACAAAAGTTACGTATACAACAAAAAAAATGTATAAGTAGGATTGAAATGCTTAATAAGCAATTATGATAACTAAAAACGTTTACATGCAGTTACATTTAACTATTTGTAAAATTATCTCTGCTATTATGGTGATATCTTTTAAGATGTTTTACTGCTCAAATCAATTTTTATAATTCATTTGTTGCAATCCAACTGTTAAAACAAGTGTAGTTACGGTGGCATCCTACTGTTTTGGGCCACCTGGGATGGGTCAAAAAACCCAATTTTTGTGAATGGTTTATTCAGATATTTGTCAGATCCTGTTCCTCACTACCCTGCTGCCCCATTATGGGCCTAGCCAAACTCATAATGGACTTGTTCATAATTGCTAAAAAAAAAAAAAAAAGCCCTCTTAATGTCCACAGAGTGGAAAGTTTTAAAAAATCCGTTTGTTGATCAGACATGATCAGTCCAAATCACATCTATGAAATTGTACCTTGATTTTATATTATATTTGTTAGAAATGAATGAAATAAAAATACTGTTTTCATATTACAGCATAAATTATCATCTGACAGATTTTATTTACTAAAATTGATGTTAAATAATCAAAGAACTAGAAATGTGCATTATTTTCTATTTCATAATTCTGTCATTAATTACATACAGAATAAACTACAACTGTTGGTAATAAAAGCATATGTATATTCTATATCTAAAAACTAAAAGAAAAGTTCAAATAAACATAGGTCATAAAAAACATAGGAGTTAAAGTCTACAGTCAAACCTCAGATTTCAACTTAATTTGTTCCTAAAAATTGCTCAAAAACCAATTTGTTCTCAAACCAAAACAAATTTTACCATATGAAACAATATAAAATGGATTAATCTGTTTCCAACCCCCAAAGCAATAAATTTAATAAATATAAATAAATCATTTTTAATTTAGACATTTCTAAATTTAATACGAGATGACAGCATAACTGCCTTCCTCTAGTCAAGTTATCGTATGTCAACCAGGGCAAATATAGTGTTCAAAATGTTGTTTGTAAATGAATTGTTCAAAAAGTGAGGCATTCGAAACCCAAGAAATATTTATTAATACAGTGGAACCTCGCTTAATGATAATGAGCAGAACAAATTGTAAAAAAAAAATGACTCGCTTAACAAGGGATGTTTCACGTAAAGAGTGATGAGGAGGGGAAGCCCTGAATTGTATGTATGCTCCATCAGTGTAAATAAAATATCAGTGTGTCTCTAGCACTAATTCTTCTAGCATCTTAGTGTCGCTTGTTATCACAATATTTTTCCAAACTTGTGTTCACACATATTATGTATAAACATCAACAACCATAGCCCATTCAACTCCTAACCATTTGGGCTCTGTGCTTATTATTGTAGAAATTCTATTATTGTAGTAATTCTAGAAAAAACTGGAACATTCTCATTGAAACGTCACATGGGATGTGCACTATGGTGGTTGCATCTTGATAGCTATAAGGATGTGGGAGATATGGAGGTTGAAAGTGGTTGACTTCAAAAATGTGTGATGTTTCAATGAGAATGTTCCAGTTTTTTCTAGAATTACACATCGAATTACAATAATAAGCGCAGAGCCCAAACAGTTAGGAGTTGAATGGGCTATGGTTGTTGATGTTTATATGTAATATGTATGAACACAAGTTTGGAAAAAAATTGTGATAACAAGCGACACTAAGATGCTAGCAGAATGAGTGCTAAAGACACACTGATGGACCATGTACACAATCCGGGGCTTCCCCTCCTCGTCACTCATTATGAGAAACATCACTTGTTAAGCGAGGTTCCACTGTATTAATAAATTTTTATTATTTAATTTGAGTTAAGCACCTTTAAACACTGATTCCTGGATATCATGTATATTACACGAATGTCAATTAATGTGGTTTTTATTAATTAATTTGATTTAAACTTCAATTTTGATGTATACCAAAAAACTTAAAAAGTAGTATCTTAACTGCATGCATGTTGAAATCTAACTTGAATAACAGTCCTTACACAGACACAATGTAGTGACAATTTTCAAACACTAAGCAAATCTTTCATCTTTTTATTCAGTTGAATAACAGTGTTATTGATGGTTCATGAGGTGATGTCTAATAATGCGAGGAAATCTTGGTGCCACTAACTTCTGAATCAATAGTCTCTTCATTGATTGGTTGTGCTGTCAACTTTTCTTTAACACAGGAAGTATATGGAGTTGACCATCTGTGTGTCTATAATCTGTGGTTGGCTCTTGCTGAGTAGCTTGTTCAGCAACCAAGTTATTGTATGTCAACCAGGGCAAATATACTGTTCAAAATGTTGTTTGTAAATGAATTGTTCAAAAAGTGAGGCATTCGAAACCCAAGATTTGACTGTATTTTATTTTCATGCTTAAGGAAAGATATATATTGTAGCAAGGAAGTATCTTAATCACAAATTTTCTGAAAGATTTTTAGGAACCAGTCAATTGGCCAGCTAGGTCTCTGGATTTAAATCTTTCTTGATTTATATTTGAGAGGTTATTTGAAATCCTGTCTACATCGTACCAGTTGCAACTGTGACAGAGCTACAACAGCTTGTCAAGAATGGCTATAATGTTATTAGAAATCAGTTTGTAAATTTAGAGTGAGTAAGGCAGTGAATATTTTGACATCTAAACAGTTGTGTGCCTGAGAATGGAGACTATTTTAAACATCATCTCTGCTGTACAAAAGTAAAAAATAAAATAAAGTAAGCTCCCTAAAACTCCTTTTGGGTTTTATAGTCTCTGTTTATTGGGACTTCCAGTTTTTAGATATAGAAGTATGTATATGCATTTATTACCAACAGTTATGCTCACACCATATATAATTACATATTCCAATTTCCCATTTATGTTTATATCTAAAGATGATCTAATATTTTATAAAAAGATTGAGAAAATTAATTTATTAAATATTTAGAGCAGACATTTTAATTGTTTATTTCAGTAGAAGCTCTATTTCTTGTATTATTTATATAGCTTATATATAATTCCAAATTTTTACTCTATTTTAACATTTGGCATTGATTTGATATGTTCATCAGTACAGTGTGAATTAACAAAATTGAAAATAAGTTAATTACATCACACCACACTAGGATATATGTAATAACAAACACAGACCTAGTTTCTGATGTGTATAAACAAAAAACTATCTCTGCACAAATGTTTTCTAACTTCTTCTGAGTTCTTCTTCAGGTGCAACAGAACAGTTACCCATTGGAACATCCTTTGGAACAAACACACAAATTTATAAAAGTTTTTAAAAGAACATAATTTGAATGACTATTCGGACTATAAGCTTTAAGTTTATATTTATAGTCTGAATAGTCATTCAAATTATGTTCTTTTAAAAAACTTTTATAAATTCATGTGTTTGTTATAAAGGATGTTCCATTGGGTAACCGTTCTGTCATGCCTGAAGAACTCAGAAGGAGTTAGAAAACATTTGTACAAAGATCATTTTTTGTTTATACACACTGGAAACTGGTTCTGTGTTTGTTATTGAAAATAAGTTATAAATCTCTAATAAGAAACAAATTTTTCATTTTTATATTTTAAAATTAAATAATCCCAAGTAATTTTTTGTGAATGCTGGTGTTATGGGTGTTGTAAAAATGCAAGAACAAATTTTGAAACACAGGTAAAAAATTTAGGAGATGGATTTTTATCAAATTTATATATATCAAATGAAAGGAATACAAAGTAAGTTTTTTAATTGAGAAATTAAAAATACATAATAAATTTTTTTTTTTTAATCTTAGGCGTGGCCATGATGATTTAGGAGATCACTATTTAGATTGCGGCGATCTTAGTAATGCCCTAAAATGTTATTCTCGAGCAAGAGATTATTGTACAAGTGGAAAACATGTAGTCAATATGTGTCTTAATGTTATTAAGGTTTGTATTGTCAAATTAATTTTAATATTAATAATTATAAGTTGTTATATATCAGACATGGGCAAATGCAGCTCTGAGAGACGCATGCGGTTCTTTTTGAGTTACATGCAGCTCTTGATGAAAATGTTAATTTCTGCTTTTTATTATTATTTTTACAATTTTATTTCCAGAATTTTGTGAAAATATGTTTATTATAAAATTCAATATTTGTTTTATATTATATTTATATTATATAATAAAATTGCGGTACAGAATAAAAAAGTACAGAACTGCGGCTCTCGTGCATTTTGCAAAACCTACATTTTGGCTCCCACTGAACTCTTGCTTGGCCATCCGTTATATATGCAATCACTATCAGTTACAACTTATTGTTTAAATTCTTCAATTCCTTTAAAATATTTCCTACCATTTCATATTTTATTATCTTGGTAATTATTAGATCAAAATTAAAAAGAAATAACATTTGTATGATTTAAGTAAGCTTTAATTGAAATATTAAAGCTTATTTAATTAATACTATTTAAGTGATATTATGCTTGTGCCCACTTTGGACATTCTTGTGAACTAGGACTTGTAATACTGACAGAAGAGCAACACACCATTTCCAATTAAGATATATTTATTGTAGCATAATTTAGTATGCCACTATAATTGAGCATTTCGGACCAACGCCCCTCCTCAGCAGACATTACCATTTTCTTTATATTTATAAATTTATATTTTAATATATCCATATACAGTGAAAACTGCTTAGGCGACCACCTGCATTCGACGGGCACCTGTCAAAACGGGCAAAAATTTCTGGCACGGAATAGTTTATCCATAGAGTCTTCGTATAAGTTACCTGTATTAAACGACCACCTGTGTAACGCGACCGCGGGCATAGATTTTTGGTCCGAAACAACATACAACACCTGTAATAAGCGACCACTTTCGCGNTCTTTTACCACCAAGCCATCTTTTCAAGTTTGGAAAGAGAAAATAATCCAAGGAGGCTAAATCTGGCAAATAGGGTATGCAAGGAAGCAAATCAAACCTTAAGGGTGCGACTATGCAGACGCGAGCGAGCGAGCGAATTTTCCGAGCAAGCAAGAATATGTGGCGAGAAGAGGTGAGACGCAATAAATATCAAAACCTGTCAGATATGTGCGAGAATCAGAAATTCGCTCTCATCAGCGTTATTTCTCACTTCTCGTTTGTACATGGTTTTCCTTTGCGAAAACTAAATTGCTCGCAACCTCTCGCTCGTTCTAAATTTGCGTCTGCATAGTCGCACCCTAACTCATTGATTTTGGCCACCGCAATAATAGATGTGTGAACTAGTGCGTTGTCTTGATGAAACAACACCCTTTTTTTCCTGCCAAATGCAGCCATTTTTTCTTGATTTCATCACTCAAGCACTGCAATAAGTTCGCATAATACTTGCTGTTGATTGTTTTTCCTTTTTGAATATAATCAATGAAAATTATCCCATGCACATCCCAAAAAACTGATGCCATGACCTTGCCAGCAGATGGAACTGTCTTCGCCTTCTTTAGAGCCGATTCTCCTCTTTCAGTTCATTGTTTCGACTGTTCTTTCATCTCAGGCATGAAGTGGTGGACCCATGTTTCATCCATGATTATGAATCAACACAAAAACTCTGTTTTATTGCTATGGAACATTGCCAAACACTCAATTGAAACATCCTCACAATGCTGTTTTTGTTCCATTGTGAGCAAATGCGGCACCCATCTTGCGCACAGCTTTCTCATGTCCAAATTTTCAGTCAAAATGCAATGTACAGCACTTTTTGAAATGCCTACTGTGTCTGCTAGCTCTCGCACTTTGAGTCAACGGTCATCCAATACCATTTTGTGAATTTTTTTCACCATTTCTTGCATGGTCATCTCATTTGGTCAACCAAAGCTTTACAAGGTTGGTACTTTCAAACACAGTAATTTTTTCAAACAATTACCATCATCTATATGTTAGGTCGGGTACTTCTGGGATGACCCTTGTAGGTTGTTTGGGACCTTTTATCATGGTCTTGTATAAAGTCTATTTGTATAGTTGTCCACAATATCTTTTTAAATACATGCTCAGCATTATCTTTATAAAATACATGCTCAGCACTTTTTCTCATATTAGTTTGTTATATCAAGGCTCAACTGTAAAAATTGTTTTATAATGATTAAATAATCAATATAGTTAAGAACAAATATGTTTATCCTTCTAGCTATTGTCTTCAAATAATGTTGCCATGTATGGTGGTCTTTGTGCCCTAGCATCTTTTGATAGACAAGAATTATTAAAAAATATTATTTCTAGTAGGTATGTGATATCTTTGTTTATTATAATTATTAAAACTTTGACTTAACTGTTCATTTTATTTATTTATTAACTAAATATGAATCAACAGTTAAATATATAAACAAGGATTTGCATTAATAAATATGAAATTTTGCACTTTTTTTTAGTTCTTTCAAATTATTTTTGGAACTAGAACCTCAATTAAGGGATATAATATTTAGATTTTATGAATCTAAATATGCATCGTGCTTAAAACTTTTAGATGAAATAAAGGTATGTCTTTGAAATTACATTTTATATGTGTGTATCAATGAGTAATGATTTTTTAAATATAATTCTGGCTTGCAGGACAATCTATTATTAGATATGTATCTTGCTCCACATGTTGCTACACTTTATACTCAAATTAGAAATAGAGCATTAATCCAAGTAAGTCTAAATTTAAATTGTAATTAATTTAACAAGCAAAAGTTCAAAGCCATTAAAAATTATACATGTTTATAATTTAATTAAATCCTAAATTTTTATAGTATTTTAGTCCTTATTTATCTGCTGATATGAATAAAATGGCAGCAGCATTTAATACAACGATTTGTGCTTTAGAAGATGAATTGATGCAATTAATATTGGATGGTCAAATTCAAGCTCGAATTGATTCTCATAATAAAGTAAGTAATTTTAACCATGCAGCATTTGTTTGCCAAACTAAAACCACATTATTAAAACTCTTGATCACAGAAGGGCAGATTCATTTTTACTTATAAAAACATAGTAAAAATGATATCCTTGTCAAAGAATTGATAAAATATCGTTTTTAATTAATTGTAGTGTATTATTGTTTCTTTAATGATGAAATAAATTTGTTAACTGTTTATTTTATTTATTTATTAACTAAATATGAATCAATATACACACAAACATTGGGCCAAAAATTTTTCAGACTTTACCAATGATGGGTCTGAAAAAAGTTCATTGCGGGTGAGGCCAGGCCCACAATGGGCAGCCATTTGGTGAGGGACAAGTCCTTGACATATCTAGGATGGGATTACTCCCTTGAAAAATTCCTGGTTTCCAGAGTTGTTTGTTGATGCATTAATTACCTCAGCCAACTGGCTGGCTGTCTGCTAGGATTGGGTCACCAGAATTGATCTATTGAAGGCAATCAAAGGGAGAAAGATGAAACTCCCAGTATTTTTATGTATGAAAATGCTGAGTTCCATTCCTAGCTATAAGTATGCATGTTAACATTTACTAATGTCCTCTATTACATAAAGTATTTAAAATTTATTATTATATTGTTATCTATAATTAGTAAATAAACAAAATTAATTATAATTAATTTGTCAGAAGTTGAATTTATTTAATGTGACTATTTTCCAGTTCATTTTTTTATGAGCAGTTTAATGTAGTGAATTTATCAAGTTTTGAAGTTTATTACTTTAGTTGTTATAAATTAAATGAGAAACATTGTTATTATAGCTGTAATTTCAAACTTTTTAAAAAATTAAGCATATACTTAATTATTTATAATCTAATTCTTATTTTATGTAAATGTTAGATTTGAGAATGCATCATAAAGTTGGGTACACAGAGCCTGTGTGTTAATATTTTGAATGGAGAATGAAGAATACTTTTATTTTAGAATAATATATTTATATATCAAGTTTTAAAACTCTAAATTGTGTTATAGTAACATTATAATATAATTATTACCAGATACTCTATGCCAAAGATATAGACCAAAGAAGTACAACTTTTGAGCGTTCTCTTGCTATGGGAAAAGAGTATCAGAGAAGGACAACAGTGAGTAACTTTTATTTAAACCTAAAATAATGCCATTGCTTTAAATGTATCAAAACTTCATTGAATTTTTTTCTCTTTCTTTAGGCATTAATTTTACGATCTGCAATGTTAAAAAATCAAATTCATGTAAAGGTAAATAGTTTTTTATTAAATAAAAATATTTTTTCTTTTGTTTTTTTATTTGAGAAAATTAGCATAAACAATGATCAATAATGAGCATGAACAATTCAAAATAATATAGATACTTGTATATTATTTGGATTTTTTCTGATTACTCCATCAGCATATATTGTTGGACAAAACATAGAGTATGTTTTATTCCACAATATATTGACACAATGATTTGACAATTATTTTAATTATTTGCTAATTCAACACATATCCCAAAAATAGTGACTCTGATACAATATAGTTTTTCATTAGTTTATGAAAATTATTAAATTGTTGCCTTCAAAATAATCATCTGTTTTGAAATATATTTCTTTCATGTTTTTTATTAATGGCAAAATTATTCAACATATTTTCACAACATGACCAATCTCAATTTCTCTGTATGCCAAATCGTCATTTAATTTTCTGAATCATTCCAAAAAGATATTGTGTATATGGTAAATCAGATGTAATTATAATTATTATTTTTTCCTCTAAGCACAATATTAAAATGAAAGAATATGACAATGTCCATCAACTAACTTAGTTAATTTTGTGTTCATGATAATTTTCCTAAGAATACAAAGTAATTTTCAAAATTTAAATTTTAATATTTATTTATTTTGATAAGTAAGCTTACTTAAACTCCTTACACTATGTGGACTCTAAAAGGATCTTTTTAATCATGTCTGTAATGGAAGCAACTGAATAATGATGAGGAATGGTATCAATCATATCTAGAACTGACTAACCAAGAAAAATTCCCAATGTCCTTGACCCAGACTCAAATCTGGGATTCCCAGAGTGGCAGGTCAATAGCTTTACAGCTTCGACTGATTTTTTATTGGATCAAAGTAAATGCTGGTTGTAAGTGGCATTTAACCATATATTATGTCCACAAAAAATAAAAAAGACATACTGTCCTGTATGAATATTTTTCAGTTAAATTACACTCTTGATTGAATGTAATGACTTTATATATAGTTTTGACAGTATCAAATGGCATATATCCAACTTCAATCAAAATTCCAAATGTAATTATCAACTAGTAAATGTTAAGTGACAGCAGTGGTAAAGTACATGTCCCTTTCTCGGAAGGTTCTGAGTTCATGTTCAGTTAGCATGTCAGAAATTTTTCATGAGTGATCTGGCCATGATATGTTATGTCCCACCCTTCCCTACTAAGATTCTTTTGTTGTAATATGACTGTATAATGAATGAAAGAGTGTGACAGATTTCTATTGCAATGGGCTTGTTCAAAGGCACTTTTTTTATGCCTGCAAGATTGAGACAATAAAAAGATTAATAAATAAATGTCAGCATTGAGTTCAAAAGGCTAAATATGACTGTTAACAGGTTTGTTAGAATTGAAAATGGAACTATTCAGAAGTAATTTGAAATTGCTAATGAGAGTAATTATTTGAATTATTACAAAATATTAAAAATTCTTAAACTGCTTTTTTTCTGTTTTTTTTTTTTTTCTTAAAATGTTGCATTTACATTAAGATAAATTAAATATCAATTACAACAGTGAAAAATCATCAGAATAAAAATTAATTTATTCCTTATGAAATTTTCCTTTATTAAGCAGAGTCCANTTAGGCCGAGTTTGAGGCTCTACTGTAATACTTTTCATTAATATTAGTTTAATTAATACAGTTAATAGTATTAATAGTACTTACTTTTAAAAGATTACATGTTCTTTTTAAAATACTTTGAAATAATTCACAAAAAATAAATAATTCTAAATGAAATAAGTGGAGTTCTTTTAATCAAATTGCCTGAAGGGAATATAGTTTTATTCATAATGTCTGGTCAATTTAATAAATTAATCAATATTTATCAGACTGCATGCACCCATTTTAGTCATTATTCATAATGACCAGGCATTATGAACAATGCCCTATTAATCACTTCATCCATACACAATTTAGTTTATTAACATTGTTGAATTTTATATATATATTTAGCCTTTTAGTTTATTGACATTGTTGGGATTAACTGTTATTAAATGTTTTAATATATAATTCCTAAAAATAATTTCACTGTCAGGCGAAGGGAAATACATATGAACTTACAACAATTTTCATTATTCATTTACATCACTGACAAGAAAATCAGTTTTTTTACTTTTATTAACACTAAAAGAATTTATCTAACAATTATCTTTGAAAATTAATTCATTAAAACAAAATGTTGAAAAGCATGTCACGGCATGAGAGGACCTACAAGAAAAGGTCAACTTCACAAAATAGAATCATTGTTCCTGTGGTATGAAAAGTGGACAAATTATAGAGAGAATGATTACATTTTATGTCTTTTTTGTGTAAAGTTATGTTGCTCTCTTTATTTAATCTAATTAAATTATCAGCATTCTCAACATCTTTCAATATATTAAATATTTTTGAATCATCAATGTCAATTAGATTTACTCTGAATATCAGAATTCCTAAAAATTATTAAAAATATTTTTAGGAATAATTTTCTTATGATTTTTATTTTTATAATTTTTCTTATTAGCAGAAAATTATCTGTCTGAAAAGCAGAATAAATCCTAGCAATAACAATGTTAATTTTTTTCCTTCTAACTAGACAATTTCCCAACTTTTTAACTTTTTATTTGTTCACTAACCTAAATTTCAAAATATTTATTTCTTGTTCTATTTCAATATTTCTTATAAAACTGATTCTGATTTCATTTCAGATATGATCAATTTGCCAATCTGCATCTTATGAAACAATCATTGGTTATAACAAGAGTCATCATGTTATCATCATCTATTCTGTTCTCATTTTAACAAAAATATGAAGATTAATGCCTAAAAAGTTTGAAACTAATCCTTCTAAGACCAAAACTAGTATTACTCTCATTTTTGTTAAATCAAACATCATTTTACATTTAAAATCATGAATTTAATTTTTTAAAATTATGCTCTATTTATTGCATAATATATTTCCTCTTCATTTAACCATCTAATGAACTGAATTATGTTGTTATATGCTCTTCCGAGCATAGTGTGATACTCCAATATTAGAATTGCATATACTTTATTTCTATCAACAAATTATGTTTTCATAACTATTCATGTCACTTTTATTCCATTTATTTCCTTGTACAAAACTGTAGGAATGGGTCAGGCATAGCCAAACCACTTTTTGCTGCCAACATTACGAATAAAATTCTAATTTAAAATTACCCACTACCATGAAAACATTGTCAGACCAAACCAATGGAATTTTCCATAGGGGAAAGGGTTATCCCTAAGACAATTCTTTCTCTTTCCTCTAACAACACAGACCTTTACCCAGACTGATTTAAGAATTAAAAAAGTTGAAATAACTAGGTAAGAACTGAAAGTGAAATCTTTATAAAGAAACTAGGAGACCATGGCCATAATCATGGCAACTACTCTTCATTTTTGAGTCAGACCACTTTTCTCCCTTCCTACAGCCCTATTATAACTATAGACTTTAATATTCAAACTTCATTCCATATTACAGTGCACTCCTAATAATATGAACTAATAAGTTCACTGTGTTGTTTGGATTAGTAGGGTTATATGTAAAAGAAAACAAATCAAAAATAAATAATTTTTTTATTTTTGATAAGGAAAAAACAATTCTTTTAACAGATAAGAGAGATTATGTTTTGCACATATCACTGACACATACACTATAAACTACAGTTACTATATATGTACTATTAGATTATATGTGAAACCTACAATGTGTTCATTATTACAAGACAACCCTAATTGAAAGTTGGGAATACTGTATATGATGAATGTCACAACAAAGTTAGATGCTAGACATTATCAATCAATATATCAGTGAAAGAACTACGACTATACTTCAGTATATCTATAATATGATGCTTGATTGGAACTGGTATTTAATTACACAAGTATTAATTAATGAAATGTTAACAGGGTGCTCTCTCAACAGGAATTATTGGGGAATTCATTCATTTCTTGGAAATTTACAGAAAACAGATTAAAAATTTTCAACATTCCAAAACTATCAAAGGTAAAAAAGTTTTAAAATCATTTTTCATTTTCTGGCCTTATGTTCATGCATGGTCACAATATAGAATTTTAACCAAAAATATTGCTGCTTTATAAAATGTAATTTATAAAACTTTATTGTTCTGCAATTTGAAAAAATTGTAGACATAAACTCCCACTTGTCCGTCCGTCTGTCCTTAATCTCGAGAATGGCGTTAAATAGATGAAAGACAAGACCAGATATGGAAACTATAGCAGCAGGAGGCCCTGATTAACTATATATGTTATTTCAATTCAAAACTTCCCCTGAAAGCAGTTAATAGATGACTGTTGATAATAGATAAATAGATGATGACTGTATTGTTAAATGAAAAGTATGATGTACAGGGGTAAGACACTACAGTATTAATTTCAGGTGGAGAGCATATATTTTACAATAAATAAATAAATAATTGCATTCCGGCATTGTGACAATGTCACAATAAATAATTGCACACTGCCATTAAATTAATTCAAATAGCAGTTTAGTTAGAATGTTTGGAAAAACTACAAATCAAAACATATTGAAGTTCATTCAATTCAAAATCTAGCATAATGTCTCTTGTATGATAGTTTCCCAATAATGTTCATTAATTCTATTTAAACTTCTCAAAGGTGCAAATGACACTTAGGACCTTAACACGGCTGTAGACCATATTCATAGAAGCAAAAAAAGTCAAGGAAACCATAACTCTACTTGCAACCCTTTATGCGATACAGCCCCTCAAAATCAGCCTACTTCCGGGGGTGCCAATGAGAGTTGCTGCACACTCTGCTAAGATTATTGTGCGTAATTATTTATCCCAACTTATTATGCCAGCTTTGAGTAGCTCACTTGACCATACCAGGACCAAAGAACAGGTCATGTGCACATTGTTGTGCGATGACTTCAAAACAATCTGGTTTCATGCAATCATTAATGGACCATTCTCTGGTTACATCTGCCAAGGTATAGTTTTTTTTTTGCCCCTGTGTGCACTAACAAGGAGTGCTATACCTATGTCCCCCACCGATTTTGATGACTTGGCACAAATGCAGTGCTCAATGTGATAATGCAATCACCCAAACCATTTTATTATAAGGGCCATATATAATGAGCGAGTTATGACTAATTTAATAACAAAAATTTCCTTTATCGTCTGAACAAACTCTCCAGCAAGATAAGGTACAAGACAGGCGTTTATTTGTAAATATTCACCACTCAAAAAGTTTTACAATCTTAATAGTTAAACACCAAAAGAGTTGTCTGTGATAAGGGCAGAACCTCAACATACTAGCCAATGGTAGACTATAATACATGGATACCTTAATTTTTAAACCTTGATAACTCACTCATTATGGCCCATACAATGAAACGCTTTTGGGGATTGCATTATCGTATCAAAACTACCTGTGTGTCAAACTTCATCAAAATTGGTGGATAACATTGGTGTGGTACTCTGTAATCATATTCATCACAGATTCGGTCAGGTCCACAGTGAAGCAGCCGGGTTTTCTAACAAAAAAATAGTTGAAATATGTAACAATAATAAAAAAATGTTCAATAAAACAATAACATAAAAAATTGTTTTAATGTTTAATTGCCACTATATTCAATTTTAACTGTGTTCAGCTGTTTGGCAATTTCTTTGTAAATCTTAAACGTAATGAACACTACACGATTTTGCTGGGCGGGCAGGTTTATTGCCTGACAATGTTCGTGGAAAGAGCTAGCACTAGGCAACATTTTCCTCCACCAACCAGTCACGGGATACAGTATTTCCAAAAAATGGCTGCCTCTATCGAGAAACGTTCCCCAATTAGTTTTGATGGCAAAAATTCGGAATTTCCACTTTTAGAAAATCAATGTTGGTCAATTTCTCTGTCGGGCAACACAAAATCAGCCAACAGGCCATATTAGATAGCAAAACCGTGTAGTGTTCGTCTCGCTTTGGCATCAAAATTAACTCTGCTAGCATCACATACGTTTTAAAAAAAAAAAAAAAAAGTTGCCATCGCCATATCGCTCGTGGTAAATCACATGTAAAAATCTTTTAAAATATAGGCTTCTTCTAACAAAAACCATGTAAAACATTTCAACTAAAATTTCGTATTCGTTCTGAGATATTTAAAAAAAAAAAAAAAAACCATTTTTCTAGCACTTTAACCAAAGTAAATCCAGGGGATTGTGGATAGGAGCCTGGAGTATTCTCCCAAGTGATTACTGCGATTTCACCTGGACTAAAGAGTGTCAAGGAATGTGAATTTTACATTGTGTTCTTTTCAACTGTCAGGGGCGTTAGATCTTCTCGCGC